CTTATGATGTTCCCACCTGGATGCCCCAGCTCCTTATGAATCTCAGTGCACATCTGAATGATCCTCAGCCTATTGAGGTAAAATTCTTCCTTGTTAGTTTCTTTGCTTACATATTATCAGTGATACTTTGTAAAAAACCACTTTTACTAGTAACTTCCTCTACATTCTGGACTTCTGCTTTGATAAAACTACTGTTATTAACTTTGCCAAGGCCAAATCTACTCATGAATGGTTATTAAAATTTTGCAGAGACCTTGCTCTGATATATATTTGAGATCTTTTGTTAGCAAGGAAATTACTATGTCCCTCCCAGACCAGTGGAAATAAAATACTGTCAGTGTTGTCAGGATAGTTAAATTTTATACTTTTGTTTTACTAGCATGTTATATCTAGTAAGTATGTAGCTGGCAACTAATATTAAACAGGAAATGGTGATGGTATTGTTTAGTGAACACTTGTATTCCTAAATTAAATAACTCAGAAGACCAATGTGTTTGTCCTTTTCACCCTGGTAAATAGGTATAAGTGTATATTGAAACTGGTTTAATAATGTGGTATAAGTTCTATTAGTGTGTCCTAAAATATAGCTAGTAATTCTGAAGAAGAGAGTGTTGTGGCTTTGTGAAGAAGGAGTGGATTGTTGGTTTTGTAGCACATGAAGTGTGAGATCTGGAGTCTCAAGGGATTGTTGCTTAGCTAAAGGTATCCTAAATATAAACCTAATTGTTTGTTCAGAGGTTAAAATAAAATGTTTTGGGTTGCCTACCCTACAGATGACTGTAAAAAAGACCTTATCCAATTTCCGAAGGACGCACCATGACAACTGGCAAGAACACAAACAACAGTTCACTGATGACCAGTTGCTTGTTCTCACTGATCTCCTTGTGTCACCATGCTATTATGCATAGAAATGTAAGCCAGCAAAATTCCGAGTTTAAAGAAATCTAACATCCTCAGACAAATGTCATTGGTTTGATGGCTTTTGAGAAGTGGCTATTTGTTGTTTTTTCTTTTTGCTGACATTTTTAGATGTCACTGTTTAGTTTTTTTTTTAACATAACTTTTTGCTATGGCCACTGGAAGTAAGTTTCCAGAGCATTTTTTCTTGCTTCCCTACTTCAGATACTAAGCAGAGAGTTGATGTGACTGCTTTGGACCTTCATAAAAAGAGTAGGCTTAGTGGCCTAGAAATGGTTAGGTAAAAGAAAAGAAATCTCATTCTTACTTGCCTCCTGAGTTGGGCCCTGGGCATTCTGGGTTACCCTTGGGACTTTATAGAGTTATACATAGTTATAAGGATATTTCATGTGGATTCTTAAGTATTTATTATCCGTTCTGTATTTCAGAGGGAAGACCCAGGAATCTTTTACTGGGATAGGAAGAATAAAGAAAATTTCACTTACTCGGCTTTTAGAGTTGGCTATTCTATTGTCTAACTGAAATTTTTTTCCCTCCCTGATACAGATGAGTAATCCACACTTCAAGCTCTTTTCATCAAAAATTCCAGATCCTCAGGTACCATCTTTGGTGGCTCTCTGCAGGTTTTAAAACTGCCTCTGTTGCACTCTCATGATTTTGGTGGTTTCTATATTTGGTCTCATTAGTCTGGGCTCCACAGGTTCTCAGCTGCCATTTGATTTCCTAACTAGAAATGTTTCCTGAACATCCATCACTTTTTCAAGGCATCTGACAAACCCACAGTGTCTCAGACTAGAAATAACTACCCAGTATAATCATGGCATCAAAGACCAGAGAGAGTCTAGGAACTCATTAAGAAACCGTTTTCTTGGAATGGAGAATATGCATCTGTAATACAAGTCCTGTCATTTCATTCACCTCAGATTATTTTGAATTATTTTCAAATGGCTGTTGGGTATAGATGGCAGTAAGGCTGTGGGCCATAAATCTGATGCCTTGAGAGCCTTGGGTTTGGAGAATCATGAAGAGGGAAAGAAAAGAGGGCAACTGTTGACTCTGTCCAAGGATATGATGGATTGCTCGACCAGGACACAGAAATGCAGTCTGTGTCCAAGTACTTCCCACAGACTGGAGTTTTTGGTGCTTAATAGAAGAGCAGTTGCTTTAAAACTGGGGGTTTGGTGAATAAATTTTTGATTGTTGTGTGTGTAAACAATGTGTGATTTTGAAAATAAACAGCAACAACAATAAAAACCTGACTGGTTGATTTTTACCTGTATTCTTTACAAATATTGTTTGACCCTCTTTTGAAAACTGTTATACTTCACCTAATGGAAGACTGCTGTGTTTGTGGAAATTCTGTAATTTTCTTCTCTTTGTTGTTTTTCTTCTTCTTTTTTTTTTTTTGCTTGCAGAATCATTGAAAGGTGACTAATAAGTCTTGATATTTAATTGACTTGTTTAATAAATGTTATATAGATGTAAAAGACTGTATAAACTGTAGAGATAGCATTGGCAAGACTGTGTACAGATGCAGCCTTTTACACACCACCACTGTGTAATTAATTTGTAAAGATTCACATGTACCTCTTACAGTGATTTTTGGCTTTTTTACCAATGGAATGCCATTTTTGTGTTTTTAAATTATTTTCTTTATCTTTTTATGTTACAAAGGCTGAGGTGTGGGGCTTTTTAGTTCATTTATCATTAGAATGTCTGAATTTTTATGTAACACTTTTTTGTGTGCATTTCTAAATGCAAACACATGTTTGCTATGACAAGTTTATAGAATACAAGGTATCTTCTAGGTTAAAGTAATTCACAAGTTGGTGAATGTCATCTTGCAACACACCCTGTACAGTCTTCCTTAAAGGAACACTACAGTATATTTTTTAGTAACTCTTGCTGAATGACTCAGTACAGACCTAGGCACAGCAGAGGTCATGGTACAGTATTTAAGTGTCAGCATACACAGGCGTAATCCCTGTATAAAATAGTGCCAAACTGATGATTTTGATTGTGTAACTACTTTAAAACCCAATAAATGGATTGTTTTTAACACATGGCTTTTGTCTTCATTAATGGGAGAAGGCAGTTCTGTAGGCAGTGACTCTCATGGATTCTTTCTTCATCCATAGATTTGGATCCACAAATTCATGCCTTCTGACCAAAATAAATTATCTAGGTCAGACCTCTCCAGTACAGTAGCTAATAGCCATGGGTGACTTTACATTTAAGTTAAAATACATTTCCTTCTCACCAGCCAATTTCAAGTGCTTATGAGCCACTTGTGGCTAGTGATTTACCCTATTGAATAGGACCCATGAATGTTTTCATCATCACAAAGTTCCATCAGCACTGATTTAGATGATTGATTCTTAAACTGATGTGTCTAAGAATCACCTGTGGATTTTGTTAAAATGTGAATTTTAATTCATGCTCCCAGCTCATGGTATCAATGCCTGGGACTGAGACCACACTTTGAGTAGTGAGGCTTTCTATTACATTGACCACTTAAGCTTTTGTTAAGTTGACTAAGGTGTATGAAACCATGCCATAGCAAGGTTCCAGAAGTGGGAACTTTGAAAAATACAAGATACTGGACACCCACTGTGTTCCTTGTTCAGAATTTCTGTGGTTGGGGCTTATACATAAATATCTTTTAAAAGCTCCATAATGCTTTAGCTGTGCAGCCAGGATTGCGAGGCACTGGTGAAGACTCCGAAGGCCCATTCTAGACCTAAAAACAAGGTATCTTAATCTGAGTTTGTAACTTGCCCCATGTGATTCTGATACAGAAGGTGCTTATTACCTTGATACAGTGAATTATTTAATTCCCTAAATTTTCTGCAAGTGGCCTCAAGAATGAACAGGAGGAGGGAGAGTAAAGGGATGGATACTGTTGTCTCAAATAGTTCTTAAATGTATGTTGCATTAAAAATGGAGGACGGCAGGAACAGTGTAAAGGAGGCAATAAGAATTTCAGGGTGGGTGTAGATGCAGACCAGTGTTAAGGAGTCATTGTTGACTGGGCATGGAAGAGAAAGTAGGTTTCTAAATGGAAATGATGACCATAAGAAGTGAAAGGAGAGAAAGACAGTTGGTAAGGGCTCATAATCTAGCTTCTGGATAGATGTTTAAAATTCAAAGACTTTGTAAGACTTCCTGGATGCCCAATTAAATACTAGTTGCTTTGACTAAAAAAAGTGGACATCAGAGGCTGAAAAAAGATGGCGGAGTAGGAAGGCAAGGTGGAAACCTCCCACATGCACACCAAGGATGTAACTACAGCAAATACAATTAACCATACATGATATGAAGAACAGACCAGCTACATCTGGAGAAGACCACATAAAGAAGGGTAAAGTGTCAGAGCCAAGACAGAGTAGCACCCAAGCACTTCCCCCATCCCAGGCCACAAGCTAGAGGGAGAGGCACTGTATGGAGAGGGGATAAGTGCTCAGTCACTCTATACATTGGCCCTGGAGATTTGCTCTGGGAACAGGAATCCACATTGCATCGGGCTTTAGTGATTAACAGGGCTGGATGCCAGAGGGAGTCAGACCACCCTGGAAGGCTGAGACTCCTGCTGCTTGTGGAGGACAGGCATGCTGTACCAGTCCTGAGACCCAACACAGAGGCAGCTGTGGGCAGGGTGCCAGAGGGGTAAGGGTTGGATGGAGCTTTCTCCACAGGAAGAAGGGCAGGTGGATAATGCTTTCCCAGCTTTCCCTCAGCCCAACTGGTCAGGCACTCACTGGAGCCCAACTGGTGGCACAGCCGCCAGGTGCTTCCTGAACACAGGCCTGCCTGGCAGGCAGAGGAACTCTCCCAGCCTACTTAGCCCTGTCTCAGCCCAACTGAAGAGGTCTGCAGGAGCAAGCTCCAAAGTCCCTTCCTTGCTGGCAGCCTGGCCTGCCCACTGCTCCCGTGCACCTGCCCAGCCCACCTGTGGCCCAGCAGTGCTGTCATTGCTGCAGGGCAGACAGACTGTGGCCCTACCCACAACGATGTAGCCGGAGCACTGCTGCCTGATGCCAGCTGTAGAAATAGGTTGTTATCTTTTAGCAGTGAAAACAACAAAAGCAGTAGTTTTAAGAGATATAGAGTCTAAGAAAATTTTTAATGTCAAGATCTGGCACTGCTTTTACAGTCATAGCCCTGATGTGGAGAACTATGTCAGTGGGAAAATAATTTTTCAAGAAATTTGATTTTGTATGAAATAATAAAGCATTTACTTTCTGTAACTCAGAGGTAGTGGCTTTCATCCAGTTTGAGACCACAGACACTTTGAGAATATGATGAAATCTCTATTAAAAAACTGGGAAGAGCATTTACACAATTTGCATACAAATGTCAGGAAAACACCTGACCCCAGATCCCACACCACCTTCCTAGCCTCCTTCTGTCAGGCTCAGAATCTTAGCTCTAATAAAACTGATTGTTTCTACAGGTTCGAGAAATGGCTGCTACCACCTTAAGTGGTCTATTACAGTGCAACTTCCTTACCATAGACAGTCCCATGCAGATTCATTTTGAGCAACTTTGCAAAACAAAACTACCGAAGAAGAGAAAGCGAGACCCTGGTTCTGTAGGAGATACGATTCCTTCTGCAGGTAATGATGCTGGTAGAAAACACATGTGTCCTTTTGGGAATTAACCAGGCATACTCAACAAATATTTACTGAATACTTCTATGTTTCTGGGTTTTGTCCCTGCTTTTGAGGAGCTTTGTATATAGAAAGCAAGACCTGGAATATAAAAGCTAAAATTGAGAGGTACAAAGGAATCTATGGTGCTGCATGCAACTATTATAATAAATCAGGCCTGTACTTGCCCACCTGAATGAAATCTCTTTATAAAGAGAAATCCAGAATTAGTTATTTTGAAGGGTCTAAATGTCATTTTTTAGTATTTATATTATAACTTATGTGTAGCTGTACTAAGAAAAAAGCTAAATAAAACAAGCTTTGCTTTTATGTGCAGAGGGTATTTAGTATTTCACTAGGCATTTGGTAGGAGGATGAGAAGATCATTACTGTACAGGAGCTTCCACTCTAAGCGTAAAGATAAGCGAGAACATGAGATCTGATAACTGTCATGATTAACAAGAAATTTAAATGTGATCACAAAGAAGCATCTTATCTTGCCATTACTAACTACAGTCACAAGAATAATGGAAAATATATAGAAACAATTAGTTAAGTAGAAAGCTTATCAAATTTCAGGAAGTGGTTGGAATATGAAGCTCTCTAGTGCTGATTATAGTAAGATCTTAAATATATCATTACCTAATAGGAATTTTCAATGAAAATACCAGTGCATATTCTAGTTTCTTTGAGGACTGTAGTTTTTAATAATTAAGCACCAAAGTAGTTGTAGGTCTTTGTTATACCAAATGGCATTGTTTATAATTCTGACTATTCCAGATTCCTTTTTCTCAACTTCATTTTCCCATCCACCATGTTTTATGTATACACATATATTTACAAACATGTACATACACACCTCTTTTTTAAAAAACAGAATCTGAAAGCACTTTAAGGTAACTTTTATCACTAAATAAAGAATAGAGAGCCTGTAGAATACAGACAAAATTAAGTTCTGTTTTGAGAAGTACAGATACTGCTCACCCATGGTATATAATACCTGATGAATTGAGGCATTCTATGGGGGGCTAGTCACATAAAGGAAGAAGGGATGTAATGTTGCTTGGAGATTGTTTTGAGTTTAGGGCATATAGTATGAATTGATCAAAAAAGTCATTACTGTTAGTCTTAGCAAAGATATGGCACATTTCTGACCTAGACATAATTATGCTATCATTGAAGGACACCTATAGGATAGCTTTAATTCAGCCTCAAAATTATGTTTTTGATGTGTATGCATACAGATTCATTTTAAATGAAATTCACAAATTGAAAACAACTGGTGTAATTAAAGTAATTTTATTTCACGTATCAAGTATAACAGAGTCCTGTAAATACTTGTATGCATATTTCTGTTTTCTCTGCAGAATTGGTCAAACGCCATGCTGGGGTGCTAGGACTTGGTGCATGTGTTCTCTCTAGTCCTTATGATGTTCCCACCTGGATGCCCCAGCTCCTTATGAATCTCAGTGCACATCTGAATGATCCTCAGCCTATTGAGGTAAAATTCTTCCTTGTTAGTTTCTTTGCTTACATATTATCAGTGATACTTTGTAAAAAACCACTTTTACTAGTAACTTCCTCTACATTCTGGACTTCTGCTTTGATAAAACTACTGTTATTAACTTTGCCAAGGCCAAATCTACTCATGAATGGTTATTAAAATTTTGCAGAGACCTTGCTCTGATATATATTTGAGATCTTTTGTTAGCAAGGAAATTACTATGTCCCTCCCAGACCAGTGGAAATAAAATACTGTCAGTGTTGTCAGGATAGTTAAATTTTATACTTTTGTTTTACTAGCATGTTATATCTAGTAAGTATGTAGCTGGCAACTAATATTAAACAGGAAATGGTGATGGTATTGTTTAGTGAACACTTGTATTCCTAAATTAAATAACTCAGAAGACCAATGTGTTTGTCCTTTTCACCCTGGTAAATAGGTATAAGTGTATATTGAAACTGGTTTAATAATGTGGTATAAGTTCTATTAGTGTGTCCTAAAATATAGCTAGTAATTCTGAAGAAGAGAGTGTTGTGGCTTTGTGAAGAAGGAGTGGATTGTTGGTTTTGTAGCACATGAAGTGTGAGATCTGGAGTCTCAAGGGATTGTTGCTTAGCTAAAGGTATCCTAAATATAAACCTAATTGTTTGTTCAGAGGTTAAAATAAAATGTTTTGGGTTGCCTACCCTACAGATGACTGTAAAAAAGACCTTATCCAATTTCCGAAGGACGCACCATGACAACTGGCAAGAACACAAACAACAGTTCACTGATGACCAGTTGCTTGTTCTCACTGATCTCCTTGTGTCACCATGCTATTATGCATAGAAATGTAAGCCAGCAAAATTCCGAGTTTAAAGAAATCTAACATCCTCAGACAAATGTCATTGGTTTGATGGCTTTTGAGAAGTGGCTATTTGTTGTTTTTTCTTTTTGCTGACATTTTTAGATGTCACTGTTTAGTTTTTTTTTTAACATAACTTTTTGCTATGGCCACTGGAAGTAAGTTTCCAGAGCATTTTTTCTTGCTTCCCTACTTCAGATACTAAGCAGAGAGTTGATGTGACTGCTTTGGACCTTCATAAAAAGAGTAGGCTTAGTGGCCTAGAAATGGTTAGGTAAAAGAAAAGAAATCTCATTCTTACTTGCCTCCTGAGTTGGGCCCTGGGCATTCTGGGTTACCCTTGGGACTTTATAGAGTTATACATAGTTATAAGGATATTTCATGTGGATTCTTAAGTATTTATTATCCGTTCTGTATTTCAGAGGGAAGACCCAGGAATCTTTTACTGGGATAGGAAGAATAAAGAAAATTTCACTTACTCGGCTTTTAGAGTTGGCTATTCTATTGTCTAACTGAAATTTTTTTCCCTCCCTGATACAGATGAGTAATCCACACTTCAAGCTCTTTTCATCAAAAATTCCAGATCCTCAGGTACCATCTTTGGTGGCTCTCTGCAGGTTTTAAAACTGCCTCTGTTGCACTCTCATGATTTTGGTGGTTTCTATATTTGGTCTCATTAGTCTGGGCTCCACAGGTTCTCAGCTGCCATTTGATTTCCTAACTAGAAATGTTTCCTGAACATCCATCACTTTTTCAAGGCATCTGACAAACCCACAGTGTCTCAGACTAGAAATAACTACCCAGTATAATCATGGCATCAAAGACCAGAGAGAGTCTAGGAACTCATTAAGAAACCGTTTTCTTGGAACGGAGAATATGCATCTGTAATACAAGTCCTGTCATTTCATTCACCTCAGATTATTTTGAATTATTTTCAAATGGCTGTTGGGTATAGATGGCAGTAAGGCTGTGGGCCATAAATCTGATGCCTTGAGAGCCTTGGGTTTGGAGAATCATGAAGAGGGAAAGAAAAGAGGGCAACTGTTGACTCTGTCCAAGGATATGATGGATTGCTCGACCAGGACACAGAAATGCAGTCTGTGTCCAAGTACTTCCCACAGACTGGAGTTTTTGGTGCTTAATAGAAGAGCAGTTGCTTTAAAACTGGGGGTTTGGTGAATAAATTTTTGATTGTTGTGTGTGTAAACAATGTGTGATTTTGAAAATAAACAGCAACAACAATAAAAACCTGACTGGTTGATTTTTACCTGTATTCTTTACAAATATTGTTTGACCCTCTTTTGAAAACTGTTATACTTCACCTAATGGAAGACTGCTGTGTTTGTGGAAATTCTGTAATTTTCTTCTCTTTGTTGTTTTTCTTCTTCTTTTTTTTTTTTTGCTTGCAGAATCATTGAAAGGTGACTAATAAGTCTTGATATTTAATTGACTTGTTTAATAAATGTTATATAGATGTAAAAGACTGTATAAACTGTAGAGATAGCATTGGCAAGACTGTGTACAGATGCAGCCTTTTACACACCACCACTGTGTAATTAATTTGTAAAGATTCACATGTACCTCTTACAGTGATTTTTGGCTTTTTTACCAATGGAATGCCATTTTTGTGTTTTTAAATTATTTTCTTTATCTTTTTATGTTACAAAGGCTGAGGTGTGGGGCTTTTTAGTTCATTTATCATTAGAATGTCTGAATTTTTATGTAACACTTTTTTGTGTGCATTTCTAAATGCAAACACATGTTTGCTATGACAAGTTTATAGAATACAAGGTATCTTCTAGGTTAAAGTAATTCACAAGTTGGTGAATGTCATCTTGCAACACACCCTGTACAGTCTTCCTTAAAGGAACACTACAGTATATTTTTTAGTAACTCTTGCTGAATGACTCAGTACAGACCTAGGCACAGCAGAGGTCATGGTACAGTATTTAAGTGTCAGCATACACAGGCGTAATCCCTGTATAAAATAGTGCCAAACTGATGATTTTGATTGTGTAACTACTTTAAAACCCAATAAATGGATTGTTTTTAACACATGGCTTTTGTCTTCATTAATGGGAGAAGGCAGTTCTGTAGGCAGTGACTCTCATGGATTCTTTCTTCATCCATAGATTTGGATCCACAAATTCATGCCTTCTGACCAAAATAAATTATCTAGGTCAGACCTCTCCAGTACAGTAGCTAATAGCCATGGGTGACTTTACATTTAAGTTAAAATACATTTCCTTCTCACCAGCCAATTTCAAGTGCTTATGAGCCACTTGTGGCTAGTGATTTACCCTATTGAATAGGACCCATGAATGTTTTCATCATCACAAAGTTCCATCAGCACTGATTTAGATGATTGATTCTTAAACTGATGTGTCTAAGAATCACCTGTGGATTTTGTTAAAATGTGAATTTTAATTCATGCTCCCAGCTCATGGTATCAATGCCTGGGACTGAGACCACACTTTGAGTAGTGAGGCTTTCTATTACATTGACCACTTAAGCTTTTGTTAAGTTGACTAAGGTGTATGAAACCATGCCATAGCAAGGTTCCAGAAGTGGGAACTTTGAAAAATACAAGATACTGGACACCCACTGTGTTCCTTGTTCAGAATTTCTGTGGTTGGGGCTTATACATAAATATCTTTTAAAAGCTCCATAATGCTTTAGCTGTGCAGCCAGGATTGCGAGGCACTGGTGAAGACTCCGAAGGCCCATTCTAGACCTAAAAACAAGGTATCTTAATCTGAGTTTGTAACTTGCCCCATGTGATTCTGATACAGAAGGTGCTTATTACCTTGATACAGTGAATTATTTAATTCCCTAAATTTTCTGCAAGTGGCCTCAAGAATGAACAGGAGGAGGGAGAGTAAAGGGATGGATACTGTTGTCTCAAATAGTTCTTAAATGTATGTTGCATTAAAAATGGAGGACGGCAGGAACAGTGTAAAGGAGGCAATAAGAATTTCAGGGTGGGTGTAGATGCAGACCAGTGTTAAGGAGTCATTGTTGACTGGGCATGGAAGAGAAAGTAGGTTTCTAAATGGAAATGATGACCATAAGAAGTGAAAGGAGAGAAAGACAGTTGGTAAGGGCTCATAATCTAGCTTCTGGATAGATGTTTAAAATTCAAAGACTTTGTAAGACTTCCTGGATGCCCAATTAAATACTAGTTGCTTTGACTAAAAAAAGTGGACATCAGAGGCTGAAAAAAGATGGCGGAGTAGGAAGGCAAGGTGGAAACCTCCCACATGCACACCAAGGATGTAACTACAGCAAATACAATTAACCATACATGATATGAAGAACAGACCAGCTACATCTGGAGAAGACCACATAAAGAAGGGTAAAGTGTCAGAGCCAAGACAGAGTAGCACCCAAGCACTTCCCCCATCCCAGGCCACAAGCTAGAGGGAGAGGCACTGTATGGAGAGGGGATAAGTGCTCAGTCACTCTATACATTGGCCCTGGAGATTTGCTCTGGGAACAGGAATCCACATTGCATCGGGCTTTAGTGATTAACAGGGCTGGATGCCAGAGGGAGTCAGACCACCCTGGAAGGCTGAGACTCCTGCTGCTTGTGGAGGACAGGCATGCTGTACCAGTCCTGAGACCCAACACAGAGGCAGCTGTGGGCAGGGTGCCAGAGGGGTAAGGGTTGGATGGAGCTTTCTCCACAGGAAGAAGGGCAGGTGGATAATGCTTTCCCAGCTTTCCCTCAGCCCAACTGGTCAGGCACTCACTGGAGCCCAACTGGTGGCACAGCCGCCAGGTGCTTCCTGAACACAGGCCTGCCTGGCAGGCAGAGGAACTCTCCCAGCCTACTTAGCCCTGTCTCAGCCCAACTGAAGAGGTCTGCAGGAGCAAGCTCCAAAGTCCCTTCCTTGCTGGCAGCCTGGCCTGCCCACTGCTCCCGTGCACCTGCCCAGCCCACCTGTGGCCCAGCAGTGCTGTCATTGCTGCAGGGCAGACAGACTGTGGCCCTACCCACAACGATGTAGCCGGAGCACTGCTGCCTGGCTCACACAGATGCAGCTGAGATGAGCTGTCACCCTCTGTTGACAGAGCTCAGCCACTGCTGGCACATGCCAGAAAGATGGCCCTTCCTGCTGCCCACCAACAGCAACTGGGGCTCCAGGAAAGGAGAACCAGGCACTGGCAAGTAGAGTCTTGAGCATCTGGACACCACAGGATGCCTCCTTCATAAAGCCGTTACTCTCTAGACCAGGAGGCATAGTGGATCTATCTAATACAAAGGAAGAAACAAATTAAGACAAAATGATGCAGAGGAACATGTTCCAAACAAAGGTACAGGATAAGACAACAGAAAGAAAGCTAAATGAAACAGATCACCAATCTTCTTGATAAAGATTTCAAAATAACAGTCCTAAGTATGCTCACTGATCTGTGGAAAGTATTGATGATCTCGGGAAGGGTTTCAACAAAGAGAAGAGTTGAAAAAGAGCCACTCACAGCTAAAAAATAGAGTAACTGAAATGAAAAATACAATGGAAGGAATGAACAATAGATTGCTGCAAGTAGAGGAGATGATGAGATGGAAATTAGAGAATAGAAACACAATGAAACTGAGAAACTTCAAAACTGGGAGGATGCTAAGAGTTGACAACTCCAAATGAATAATATTTACATAATGGGGTATCAAAGAAGAAGAGAGACAAAGGGGTTGAAAGTCCCTTTGAAGAAATGGCTGTAAACTTTCTCAATCTGGGGAAGGAAATAGACAACCCAGGTCCTGAAAGCACAGAGTCCCTAACAAAAGAAACCCCAGGAAGACATACAATACAAAAACAACACTAAGACATACAATAATTTAAAAAATGACAACGATTAAGGGTAAAGAGTATTGAAAGCAGCCAGAGACAAAAAAGATTATGTACAAGGGAACCCCCATTAGGCTATCAGCAGACTTCTCAGAAGAAACTTTATAGGGCAGAAGGGAGTGACATGAAATATTTAATGTTTTGAAACAAGACCTTCAACCAAGAACCTTCAACCAGCAAGGTTATCATTTAAGATTGAAGGTGAGATTAAAAGTTTCCCAGATAAAGGCTGAAGGAACTCACCATCACTAAACCAGCATTACAGGATATGTTAGAGACTTCCATAGATAGAAATGTTCTTAACCTAAATATATTTCACTAGTGAAAATTAACCCACAGTAAAGTTAGTAGGCTACTTACCAAGCAAGTATGAAGTTAAAAAACAAAATTAGTAAAACCAGCTATACACAAAATCAGTCAAGGGACATACAAAAAAATGCAGGTTTAGAACAAGTAATACATAAGCTGTGGAGGAGGAAGAATAAAAAAAGTATTTTTAGGTTGTGTTTGAAATAGAGGAACCATCAACCTAATGTAAACTGTTACTTTTTAGGAAATTATCCATGAATGATATGGTAACCACAAACCTAAAGCCTGTAATAGATATAAAAAATTTTTTTTAAAGAAATTCAATTACAACATTAAAAAAAAACAGGCAACAAGAGTATAAGAGAGGAATAAAGGAGGACATGGAACTACAAAAACAACCTGCAAACAGTTAGATGGCAGTAAGTACATACCTATCAAAAACTACCTAAAATGTAAGTGGACTGAATGCACCAATCAAAAGACACAGGGTGGCAGAATGGATAGGGAAACAAGACACATCTATATGCCACCTATAAGAGACTCATTTCAGACCCAAAGGCACACACACTACAAGTGAAGGGATGGAAAAATATATTTCATGCAAATAAAGGGGAGAAAAAAGCAGTAGTAATACTTGTGTCAGATAAAATAGAGTTCAAAACAAAGAAAGAGGGTAACAAGAGACAAGCATTATATAGTGATAAAGGGATCAGTCCAAGAAGAGGATATAGCAATTATTAATATCCATGCACCCAACAGGAGCACCTAAATATGTAAAACATGCTAAAGGAAACTAAAGGGAAAAACAGACTACAACTCAATCATATTAGGAGACCTTAACACACCACTGATATCAGTGGACAGATCATAAGACAAAATAAATAAGGAAACGGAGGCACTGAACAACACATTAGATCAGATGGACTTAACAGATATATACAGAATATTCCACCCAAAAGCAGCAGGATATACATTTTTCTCAAATGCACATGGAATATTCTCTAGAATTGATCACACCAGACCACAAAAAGAGCCTCAATAAATTAAAAAACAGTGAAATGTATCAAGCAACTTCTCAGACCACAATGGTATGAAACTAGAAATAAGTAACAAAAATATAACATTTCAAGATTGACTCAGGAAGAAACAATCTGCATAGACTGATTACCAATAATGAAATTGAATTGGTAATCAAAAAACTCCCCGCAAACCAAAGTCCAGGACCAGATGGCTTCACAGCTGAATTCTATAAAACATTTAGAGAAGAGCTAATACCATCTTTCTTAAAGTATTCCAGAAGTAGAAGAGGAAGGAATACTTTCAAACTCATTCTATAAGGCCAGCATCACTCAAATACCAAAACTAGACAAAGATACAACAAAAGAAAAATTATTTAGACCAATCTATATCACTGATCAATGATGAACATAGATGCAAAAATCCTCAACAAATATTAGTAAACTGAATTTAAAAATATGCCAAAAGGATCATCCATCATGACCAGGTAGGATTTATCACAGGGATTCAAGGATCCTACAACATTCATAAATCAATATCATACATTACATCACAAAAGGATAAAAGTCACATGATCTCAATAGACGCTGAAAAAGCTTTAGACAAAATTCAACATCCATTCATGATAAAAACTCTTAACAAAGTGGGTATAAAGGGTACATACCTCAGTATAATAAAGGCTATATATAAGAAACCCACAGCTAACATACTCAGTGGTGAAAAGCTGAAAACTTCCTCTAAGATCAGGAACAAAACAAAGATATCCTCTCTTACCACTTTAATTCAACATAGTATTGGAGGTCCTAGCCACAGCAATCAAATAAGAGAAAGCGGTAAAAGGAATTCAAATTGGGAAGAAAAACTGTCCATTTGCAGATG